ATAATTTCAATTATTATTATTATTATTATTATTATTTCATTATTATTATTATTATTATTATTATTATTATTATTATTATTACTCGCATAAAAAAAAAAAAAACAATGTTACACACAAACACGTGGTAATAAATAAAATTCTATTATTTAATTACAATCTTTTGTATTATTAATTTTATTATTATTATTATTACGGGTTCAAATTTTATTTTCGTATCGGTTATTAATAATAATAATAATAATAATAATAATAATAATAATAATGATGATGATGAATCGTAGGAATGACCTTAAAACGTTTCAATGTTGAATTTCACGAATTTTTTTTTTTTGTATGAATTCTTTCCGAGTTTATTTTTTCCATTTAAAAGAAAAACTTTTCGAATTATTATTATTATTATTATTATTATTATTATTATTATTATTATTTTAAAATATATTAAAATTTTATGATGATAATAATAATAATTTATAAATATGTAATTTGGCACACGTGAATAATATTTTGACGCGACGTCGTACAACAAGTTTTTATATATATATACGATTAAAATCGGTGGTGGTTTTTTTTTTTTTTATTCGAAATAATAATAATAATGATAATAATAATAATAATAATAATTTATTTTTCTAAAGAATTAAAGAGTGCATGGCACCAACTGACTCGTGAAGAAAAAAAAAAAAATTAAAGAAAAAGAAAAAAAAAGAAAATTTTTTTTTTTTTTTTGTAGAAACTTGGGACGTTTTTTATATTTTAAGTAATAATTTATTGTTAGTAAAAACCTTGGAAACATTTTCGACTGTCAACAAAAACTGTTTTAAAAACCAATCGATATATCATTGATTTGATGACACAAACACGCGCGCACGCACACACACACACACGCACGCACAAACAAACAGACAGACAGACAGACAAAGAGAAACATTGTAAAGTCGTTCATCGTAATCGAACAAAATCCTCATTACCTTTAACCTTTTTTTTTTTTTTAATTCGAAAATTTCACGAAATAATAATAATAATAATAATAATAATAATAATTGAATTTTTTTGTTCTAGAATGTTTCGCCGCATGGACGACGACGGAAATAAAAGTTTAAACTTGAAAGAATTCGTAACGGGAATGAACCATACTCAAATAGGTTTAACGGAAGACGAGGCCAAAGAAATCTTCAAGAGATTCGACACGAACAACAGCGGTTCGATTAACATGGATGAATTTTTAAAAGCCATAAGGGTAACATCCCTCCCCCCCAAACACACGCACGCCCCCCCCCACACGCACACGCACACGCACACGCGCCCCCACACACGCACATTTGAAACGTTTAATTTTTTCCAGCCGCCCATGTCGCAAAGCCGTATGAAATTAATCAAAGAAGCTTTTGTTAAAATGGATAAGACGGGTGATGGCGTCATCACTGGAGAAGATCTTAAAAATAGTTTTTGCGTTAAATCTTATTCGAAATATTTAAGCGGAGAGGAAACGGAAGATCAAATATTTCAAAAATTTTTAGCCAATTTTGAAAAAGACAATACAAAAGATGGAAAAGTAAATTTTTTTTTTTTTTTTTTTTCATAAAATTATCTGATAACGTTTTGTTATCATTACATGAAATTTGATTATGATAATCGTTTGTCATTATTTTTTTTCTCCAGGTAACCGAAGAAGAATTCATTAATTATTACGCTGGAGTAAGTGCTTCCATCGACGAAGACATTTATTTTGATTTGATGATGAGAAAAGCATATACTTTGTAATTTTTCCCAACAACAACAACAACAAATTTAATCAAATAAAAAATTTTCATGACGTCATTTTTATAATGTTGTTATTAAAAAAATAAAATTATTATTATTATTATTATCACTATTATTAATTTATTAATAATAATACTGAATTTTAAATTTTTAATAGTTTAATAATATTTCCTTAAAATTTTCAAAAAGTTTACGTACATTTAATTATAAATATTTTAATTAATAAATAAATAAATAATGTTATTAATTAATATTTTAATAAACTAATAATAAAATAATAATAATAATAATGAAAAGATTATTAATAAATTATGTATTAGGTTGTGATTTTATTAACAAAATGAAAAAAAAAAATAGTTTTAAACATAAATTAATTTTTTATTTTATTTAAAAAAAAATAATTTATCATTATTAATTAATAGAATTTTATGTATTGAAATAAAATAAAAACGAGTTTTATTAATAAATTTACCATTATTATTATTATTATTATTAACGACTTTTTTATTTATTTATTTAATAATATATAAATATTGCGATTATAATTCACGCATATATTTAAAAAATATATATGTGCGTATACATAATTTATTAATTTTAAAATTTTAATAACTTAATTATTATTATTATTATTATTATTAATAAAATTCCTTATGGCGTTTTCTAACGTCGTATATTTCGATCTGATTTGATAAAGCGATTAATTTTAATTACTGGAAAACAAAAAGAAAAAAAAAATTATGATAAGAAAGAAAGTCCTTGAAAAATTTTTTTACTCGATATTAAACGTAATAAATTTTCTCTTTTTTAATAATAATAATGATAATAATAATAATAATGATAAAAATAATAATAATGATAATTAATTTTTTGATAAAAATTACATAGATTAAATTATTTGAATATCCCGTATGCACAAGTTCCGTTATCAAAAAACAAAAAAAAAAATTTTTTTTTTTTTTTTTAAAAAATGCCATTATTAAATAAATCTCTCTCTCTAATAACCTTGACCTCACGTGAACTTTGTCCAGGTTAATTCCAAAAAAAAAAAATTCCAAAAAAAAAAAATTTTGACTGTTTCTGTTTGTTTGTTTGTGTTAGTGTTTGTTTGTAAAAAAAAAATAAAAATAATCGATTTTATTTTAACTAACGTATTAATTAAATTATAATCGAAACGGGTAATTACAAATATTACAGAAAAAAAGGTCAAATAATAATAATAATAATAATAATAATAATGATAATGATAATAATAGTATTTGTATCTTTTTTTTTTTTTTTTAAGAAAAGTCTGAACAAAAAAAAAATTCTGCGGTAAGTTTATGGTAAAAAAATAAAAAAAAACGGGATTTGTTTGTTTGTAATTTTTTTTTGTTAGATTCACCACAGTTTTCGACGCTACGTTCAATTATTATCATTATTATTATTATCATTAGTATTATTATTAATATTTCATTCGAACGAGAAAAAAAAAAAAAAAATTTTTTTTTTTATTGTTACGGTCAAAATTTAATTTCTTTTCTTTTTGAATGACATTTACCCTTTTATTTCATTACAATCGCGATGAACAGTTAGTTTTCTTTTTCTTTTTTTTTTTTTTTTTTGAATATCCGCACGCGCACGCGCACACACGCAATTAATAATGATATGTAATTATACCTGGCGACCTTAATAAAAAAAAAAAAAAAAAACGTGTCATTAGTTATGTTAACGTAAAATTTTATAAATTAATCACGAATTGGTTAAATATTAATAATAATTTTCGAATAGAAACAAACTGAGAAAAAAAAAAAAAAAAACGTCATCACCGGAAGTAAAACGAAACGAGTTAAACGAAACTTCCGTTTCCGTTTTGAAAATTATCATTATTATTATTATCATTCGTTCATTTTATTATAATCCGACTGGCTATAAAAATTTCATCATTCGAATTCTCGCGTGAGATTTGTCATCATTTTTATTTAAATTTAATTTATTTAGTAGAACGACATTTTTAAAATTATAAATAATTAATTTATATTTACTAATAATAATAATAATAATAATAATAATAATAATGATAATAAAGATTTAAATTGTTAAAAAATCGTTTGAAAGTAACACGAATCGAAATAATTTTTAAACGTTTTAAAAAAGTATCCGTTTATTAAATTATTATTATTATTATTATTAATCGGGTTGTGTGAAAAAAATTGTTTAAAAAATTTTAAATTGTTTATAATAATAATAATAATAATAATAATAATAATAATAATAATAATAATAATCGTTTTATAAACAATTTTGTTTTTAATCTCGTTTAAAAAAAAAAAAAAAAACTAACGAACGGTCGTGATTGGAAAGATTTTTTTTTTTTTTAAAATAACGAACGTTAAATATGATGACGTCAATATGGCGTAAAAATTAAAAATCCATCATCATCATCATCATCATCATCATTGTGAGAGACATGGAAGAAAAGAAGAAAAGAGGGAGAAAAAAATAGAAAGAAATTGAAGAAAAAAATTGTAAAGATGAAATATAAAGAAGAAAAGTGGTGGTGGATGGACCACATTTCAATGAAAATGAAACCCGGCTAGTATAACAGTATTCTTGTATCAGGTGTGAGAGTGAAGACATTGCAAAGTTTTTTTTTTTTTTT